ACCCTCACATTAATTGACTCTCCCCCCCCCCCTTTTGCTGATGCAGGGTTGAGGATTGTTTCATTGTTCTGTCCTTAGATTTAATTCCAGATAATCCCCCCTCCCGCAATTCTTTCCTTTAAGCACTTAGTTGAAATGCAATTACGGAAAGTGTACTGTGTCCTAATGAATTCCTGTTGCATCAAAAGATACAGATAGCTACAAATATAATAATGGGTGCTGTACCTACCAAAATTCAGGGGCATTGCAAACTTTTGCAACCATATTCTTTCTTTCTTTCCAGCTATTCTGGAATTATGTTTCCTTGGCACTATGGAGTTTAGAGAAAAGAATATAATAGCAGCCACACAAAGCCTCTGGTCAAATCGAATAGATAGATAGATAGATAGATAGATAGATAGATAGATAGATAGATAGATAGATGATAGATAGATGATAGATAGATAGATAGATAGATAGATAGATAGATAGATAGATGATAGAGATAGATAGATAGATAGATAGATAGATAGATAGATAGATAGATAGATGATAGAGATAGATAGATAATGATAGATAGATAGATGATAGATAGATAGATAGATAGATAGATAGATAGATGATAGATATAGATAGATAGATAGATAGATAGATAGATAGATGATAGAGATAGATAGATGATGATAGATAGATAGATGATAGATAGATAGATAGATAGATAGATAGATAGATAGATAGATGATAGATAGATTGATAGATGATAGATGATAGATGATAGATAGATAGATAGATAGATAGATAGATGATAGATAGATTGATAGATGATAGATGATAGATAGATAGATAGATGATAGATAGATGATAGATAGATAGATAGATAGATAGATAGATAGATAGATAGATAGATAGTCAAACCACCAACTTTCTATCGTTTATGTTTTGGAAGAGCTGGTTTCAGTTACATTTGCTACCCTATTTTCAGTGGGGCAGAGACCACCGCTTGGAGGATACTCATAAAGGCAGTTTGCTGAGATTACAGATTTCTAGCTTAGCCGAAAAACCAGGAAAGAAAAATAAAATGGATTGTGATATTGTCGCTACTGAAAGGTCAGGAATAAAGCATCCGCTGGTCAAATCTTTATGCGCTCCCGAAAGGAAAAAGAGAAAATGTGTCACACACAAGCACACACACAGAAAGAAGACATTAAATTTGCACGTGCTGATTTGTATGTGTACACACAAAATTCAGGAATAATTACTATAATTAAGTAGGAACACAATGCATCTCACTGCAGTGGGGGGGAGTGGGAGCAGGCAAACTCCGTCTGTTGTTCGGATGCCAACAGGGGGTGGGCAATGCCAAACTCATTCACACAACCCCCTTGCTATTCTCCCATGCTGTTGTTTAGTCGTTTAGTCGTGTCCGCCTCTTCGTGACCCCCTGGACCAGAGCACGCCAGGCCCTCCTGTCTTCCACTGCCTCCCGCAGTTTGGTCAAACTCATGCTGGTAGCTTCGAGAACACTGTCCCACCATCTCGTCCTCCATCGTCCCCTTCTCCTTGTGCCCTCCATCTTTCCCAACATCAGGGTCTTTTCCAGGGAGTCTTCTCTTCTCATGAGGTGGCCAGAGTCTTGGAGCCTCAGCTTCAGGATCTGTCCTTCCAGTGAGCACTCAGGGCTGATTTCCTTCTGAATGGAGAGGTTTGATCTTCTTGCAGTCCATGGGACTCTCAAGAGTCTCCTCCAGCACCAGAATTCAAAAGCATCCATTCTTCGGCCATCAGCCTTCTTGATGGTCCAGCTCTCACTTCCATACATCACGACTGGGAAAACCAGAGCTTGAACTATATAGACCTTTGTTGGCAAGGTGATGTCTCTGCTTTTTAAGATGCTGTCTAGGTTTTTCATTGCTTTCCTCCCAAGAAGCAGGCATCTTTTAAGTTTGTGACTGCTGTCACCATCTGCAGTGATTACGGAGCCCAAGAAAGTAAAATCTCTCACTGCCTCCATTTCTTCCCCTCCTAAGGTTATTTATATTTAAACAAAAAAAGGTTGAAAGACTCTCTCAAGGCAAATCTAAAAAAATGTAGTATAAACACCAACAACTGGGAAACACTGGCCTGCAAACGCTCCAGTTGAAGAACAGCCTTGACCAAAGGTGTCGTTGGCTTTGAAGACACTTGAACTCAGGACGCAAGGGAGAAACGTGCTAAGAGGAAGGTACGTTTGGCAAATCCACACTGTGATCAACTCCCGCCCGGAAATCAATGTCCCCACTGTGGAAGGACGTGGGGATCCAGAACTGGCCTCCACAGTCACTTTTAAAACTGTGTTTATGGAAGGCCATCTTACTTGGCTATGAGGGATCGCCGAAGAAGAAAACCCCAAAACCTCTCAATAAAAGCCTAAGATCAGACCATTTAGTCCCTTTTCTCTACGCTAAAAAGAAGAAGCTGCAACCGTTCCTCATCGTGGGGGTCTCTCCGTCCTCCCCCCCCCCCCGATAATTTCGCTTGCCCTTTTCTGAACCGGAACAGTACACACCATTGCAAATGGGGTCGCCCCATAGATTTGTACAATGACATTGGCACTTTTGTTTTCAATTCCTTTCCTGATGGACCTCCAGATGACACCGGCTTTTTGCACACTCAGTTGCAAATAAAGTGCAATACACAAATGGGACACTAGATGGCGACGGGGAGCTATGGCGAATTTGAAGTATTTTTCAAAACTTTTTTTTTTAATACATAAAGCGTTTTCACGGGTTTTTATTTATTTATTTACATGTGTGTAGATTCTACCTGGGTCGACATCTTCATGGAGCTACCCACTACGACTTCAAGGTCTCATTCCTGGTCTATCGCTGCCCCCGGGAATGTAGACGTGAAATGAAGATCCATTTTTTTACCCGACTTATTTGCAATTGCCATCTCACTACCCCTTCACTCGGCCCGGAAAAATCTTTTTGGGAGCTTTTCCCAATCTCCTTTTTTAACGGACCTGATTTGCGGTTTAGTACAGTCAGCAATTGGGGATGTATTTAAATTAATGGGCATAACTTAGCCCCATATATACCCTCAATGGGCATAATGATAAACCGAGAAGGGGGACAAGATTATACAAGCAGATATTAACATTTATATAGATAATGCTAGTACACACGTGCGCGTATACACACACACACACATACACACACACACACATATATATATATACACACACACACATATATATAAACACACACACAGACATATACACACACACACATATATATAAACACACACAGAGACATATATATACACACACACACACACACACACACACACATATATAAACACACAGAGAGACATATATACACACACACACATACAGTGGTGCCCCGCAAGACGAAAAACTTGCTAGACGAAAGGGTTTTCCGTTTTTTGAGTCATTCCGCAAGACGAATTTCCCTATGGGCTTGCTTCGCAAGATGAAACGTCTTGCGAGTTCTTGCGAGTTTGTTTCCTTTTTCTTAAAGCCGCTAATAGCTGTGCTTCGCAAGACGAAAAAAACGCAAGACGAAGAGACTTGCGGAACGGATTAATTTCGTCTTGCGAGGCACCGCTGTATACACACACACACACACATATATATATATATATATACACAGAGACATATATACACACACACACACACATACGCACACGCACACATATATATAAACACACAGAGACACACACACATATATATATATATATATACACACACACACACACACACACACACACATATATATATATATACACACACACACACACACACATATATATATATATATACACAGAGACATATATACACACACACACATACACACACACACACATATATATATATATATATATATATATATATATACACAGAGACATATACACACACACACACACACATATATATATATATATATATACACACAGAGACATATATACACACACACATACACACACACACGCACACATATATATAAACACACAGAGACACACACACACATATATATATATATACACACACACACACACACATATATATATATATATATATATATATACACACACACACATACGCACACGCACACATATATATAAACACACAGAGACACACATATATATATATATATATATATATACACACACACACACACACACACACACATATATATATATACACACACACACACAGATACGCACACGCACACATATATATAAACACACACAGAGACACATATATATATATATATATGTATATATACACACACACACGAACAAATACATATATGGTCTTCCTTATTCTAATTTTAAACATATATAAACACACACACACACAGTGACCGTGGTAAAGGGGCTGCCCCTGAAAACATTTTTATTTCCTTTTTATTTCGCGAGCTGTGAATGTTATGTGAGGACTTTTGATGGTTTTGACATGTACTTATGAGGCGTTTTAATATTTTGCTGGTGGTGGGGAGGCCTCTTCCGCGCAGTGCATTGTGGGCCCTGAGGCAGCCAGGCTGCTTTCCCGCTCCAAGATGGCGGCCGCGCCCTCCTCCTCCTCCTCCTCCCACGAATCGCCTTTGTTCGTTGCGGCAAAACGGCGCCGCATTGCTGACAAGGGCGCGAAAGTAGGTCAGGGCGGCCACGCCCCCTCGCTCCGCCCCCTCCCTCCCTGTCTGGCGGCTGAGCCAGAGATGCTCCGAGCGAGGTCTTGCGGCTTGTGGGCGGGGATATATCTGCACCAATCAGCTCACGAGAAGGGCTCGTCGCCCTTAACGACCTAACCGCCTCACCCAATCACGTCTTTCCTTTCTCCACGCGGCGGCGGAAACGGAAAGGAGCCCGGAGTTATGTTTTTTGCTGCTTACCCTCCGGCCCCGCCTCCCCTCATGTATATTAATCGGCCTCCGACCAATGGGGGCCGCGGATGACCTCATTCCTTCTCGCCCCTCGAGAGCAGGAGCGGGCGCCATTTTGGACAGAGCCGGGCTCATTTGCATATTCATGAGGAGGGCGGGGGCTCAGGGCCGGTATATAAGCGGAGGCGCAGCCGAGCCGCTGCGTAGTTCGCGCTGGGACTTTGAAGCTCGAAATTCACTTGCGCAGCTAGGAAGCGACTTCGGTAAGGGGGAGGGGGGCGACGCGGGGCGGGCGCACGAAGGTGGGGAAATAAAGAAATAAAAAAATATATATCTTTTGGTCGATAATATTAATAGGTCGGGTGGTCAGTCGCAGAAAAAAAAGGCGCCTTTTTATTTTTTCCCTTACCGCTTGGAAGGCGAGCGGCGAACCGCGCACCGGGAGAAAGGGACAAAAACAAAATGGCTTCCCGACAGGCTTGTGGGGGAAGGAAGACTCAAAATGGCGGCGGAGCCGGGAAGGGATGGGGGTCAGTAGCGCGCATGCGCTGGAGGGAGAGCGAGAGATGGGGATGGGTATCCGCGCATGCGCGTGCGGATGCCCTAAATCCCTGTACCTGTATTGTAGACGGGCGCGCATGCGCGTACGTGGTGGCTTTAATTCCCCGCCCCCACGCAAGACAGGTCATGAATGGACAGCAAAAAGGTTGCATTTTAGATGCATGATAAAATTGCATTATTATTATTATTATTATTATTATTATTATTATTATTGCTCGCCCAGAGTGGCTGGGGAAACCCAGGCAGATGGGCGGGGTATAAAAAATAAACTATTATTATTTTTGCACAGCCTTTCTGACATTTCAACTGCTTATTTCGATTTGTTTTCCCACTGCTAACCTTCCTTGCGCGCAGGTTTTAATTCTGAGACATTTTTGATGGCTCGTTTCACGTCATTCATGCTCCTGTTGGTTGCTAATTTGGTTTTGTGCCTCCCCATTTAGGGCACTCTGCCATTTCGGAAGCAAAAAATGCCTCGCGTGAAGAATATCCCAATTCATTATTTTCGTGCAGTTTATAATCCGCACTTGCGTAGAAATAACACGAGAAGGATAAACATTAAGAGAAGGGCCATTTAAAAGTACCATGAACAGTATGGTTGGTTGAAAGAAGGGGGTAAAGGCCTTTTATGTACACATGGGCCTTGGAGCTTTAAATAAAGCATAGGAATGGGCTTGTTTACATTTTCTAAGGTTTTTTCCAGCTGTGATAGACTACTAATCGCATGCAATACAAGAATCTACAATTTTTTTCTTTATCTTTGCTTCACTCCCCCTCCCCATCCTTTTTCCTTTTATTTGCCTACTTGCAAAAGAGGAGCCTGCCTTCTACATTTCCAACAATTCTGTAGAAGGGGGGACGTTTGTGGCAAATGTGGCTTTTCATGCAGGGCTGGCTAGTACAGTGGTACCTCTGGTTATGTACTTAATTTGTTGCGGAGGTCCGTTCTTAACCTGAAGCGCCACTTTAGCTAATGGGGCCTCCCGCTGCTGCCACTGCACGATTTCTGTTCCCATCCTGAAGCAAAGTTCTTAACCCGAGGTAGAATTTCTGGGTTAGCGGAGTCTGTAACCGGCAGCGTATGTAACCTGAGGTACCACTGTACAGTATTTTTATAAACAAAGGTTTAAAGCTAATGAAACTGTTTTCTCTTCTCCATTGGATGGGCACTCTTTGAAGAAAACGGATAAAACAGGATTTGTGTCACTGGCTGCTAAGCTCCTTAAGTTTTGAGTGAGTCGTGACCCCACCCGGTTGATGATCCGGCGAACTTGTTCTAGGAGGGGTGCTGTGTTTTGTTGCCTTGGGCGAATACTGAACACGAGGCTTGTTTTTTTGCTCCCAGGGGAGAAAATGGCATCAGATGAAGGGAAGCTCTTTGTCGGCGGCCTCAGTTTTGACACCAATGAACAGTCGCTGGAGCAAGTCTTCTCTAAATACGGACAGATCACTGATGGTAATTTTTTAAAAAATCAAAATAATTTACTTCGGCATCGATTGGTACGTGGCAGGCTCAGCCGGTATAAAAGATAACCTAGAGTTTGCCCCACACTCAAATTAAGAATGAAATAAGCACTCGGATTAGCACGAATTCTCATGGGGATAAGTTTGGCTTTGTGCCCTGAACTTAAGTTGACCAAATAACAAATCTCTCTCACCACTAGAGAGCCAGTGTGTTGTATTGGTTGTGAACGGTGGACTCGTAATCTGGTGAACCAGGTTCGCGTCTCCGCTCCTCCACCTGCAGCTGCTGGGTGACCTTGGGCTAGTTACACTTCTCTGAAGTCTCTCAGCCCCACTCACCTCACAGAGTGTTTGTTGTGGGGGAGGAAGGGAAAGGAGAATGTTAGCTGCTTTGAGACTCCTTCGGGTAGCGATAAAGCGGGATATCAAATCCAAACTCTTCTCTCCTTCCTTCCCGCCAGTTGTTGTCGTCAAAGACAGAGAAACCCAGAGGTCCAGAGGGTTTGGCTTTGTCACCTTTGAGAGTGTTGATGATGCTAAAGATGCGATGATGGCCATGAATGGGAAGGTGAGTCCTGTTCTGTGGTGGCTGCTCAGCGGTCCTTGGTAGGACAGAAGTCCTTCTGTTTTTAGGATGCGATCGCGATAGAACAACTGTTAAAAGTTAGCAGTTTGGGGAAACGTAACTTCTTGATGGTGGGGCCTCTCTGTGGAACGCCCTCCCATCAGAGGTCAAGGAAATGAACAACTACCTGATTTTACGGAGACATTAGAAGGCAGCCCTGTTTAGGGAAGTTTTTAATGTTTGATGTTTTATCGTGTTTTTACTATTCTGTTGGGAGCCGCCCGGAGTAGGTGGGGAAACCCAGCCGGATAGGCGGCGTATAAATAATGAATTATTATTATTAACTGAGGATCTGTTTGATTGTCACCGCTTTTGCGTGCGTCTTAATTATAATACCCTTGTGGAGCACTGTGCTAACCCCGAAACCCCTCGTTTTTCCAGTCTGTCGACGGCCGCCAAATCAGGGTTGACCAAGCAGGCAAGTCGTCTGACAACAGGTCCCGCGGCTACAGAGGCGGTTCGGCTGGCGGCCGGGGGTTTTTCCGCGGAGGCAGAGGCCGGGGCCGGGGCTTCTCCAGAGGTGAGCCTGGGCTTGCAAGTGGCCTCCGTACTTTCGGACTTTGGTTGTGTTGAACTGGATGCATCTGAAGCCTCTGTTCGGTTCTCCTTCCCCAGGAGCCGGTGGAGACCGAGGTTACGGTGGCAGCCGGTTTGAATCGAGAAGCGGGGGATACGGTGGTTCTAGAGACTATTATGGCGGCAGCAGGTAAGCCTCGGGGAGGTTGGGTCAAAAAAAACGGCCCCGTGCGTCCCCTGGTTGTAGCTGTGCCTTGTGAATGAGCATCTTCTCATCTCTCTCCACAGCAGGAGTCAAGGCAGCTATGGCGACAGGCCTTCAGGAGGCTCCTACAGAGACAGCTATGACAGTTATGGTAAGCCTTAGATCATAAGGGAAAGGATACACTGACGTGGGAATGCCTGGAGCCTCTTTTTGATTTTTGCAGGGATGGTAACCTTTGGAAAAGTACCGTTAGGTTCGCTTTGGAGCCTTATTTCCGGCAAGCCTCTCCTTGCCCTCCAAAAATCGCCGCTCTTCTGGCAGGCCTTTAAGCACTCGCGCCGCGGAAAAGCAGGGAGGGGAACCCCCGCCCTCGTTAATGCATGCGCCACGCTTAGTCGGACCCAAAGCCAAAATTGCGAGTCGTTCGTGACTAGCGTGTTTTTTCCCCCCGGAAGCTGGAAATGACGCCAGGAGCCCAGGAGCGAAAAAGAAAGGGGTGGGAGATAAGGAGAGATAGCGCTGGTAGCCTTGAGGTGCTGCTTTGCAAGCGAGTAGGGGAGGAAAAAATGCTGGGACCTTTTGTCTATGCTTCAGTGCCTTTACAATTCTGCCTGCTTCTTGTCCTCAGCTACACACAACGAGTAAAATACCTTCCTGGCTCAAGATCGTCCTTCCAATGGCTGTATTTATAAAGATTTTGGGAGCTTCGCTGAAATCCGTTCTTGTGTAGTCATCTCCTTTGTATTCTCACTTTTGTAGTAAACTCTCAGTTCTGACCTTGTCAAAACAAAAACACAGCCTTGACAGCTTCTAATATGCGATGGTCTGTTCAGACTCGAAAGAAAGCTCTGGGTTTTTCCTCTCTCAAGTGTTTTAACGTATTTTTTTTTTAAAGCACTTAAGATTTTAGTTCATTTGTGAGCAGAGGGGTGTGTGTGTGTGTGTGTTTGGTTGTGTGTCCTTTAGTGTGTGTGTGTGCGTGTTGTTTTTTTTTATTAAAAAGAAAAAGACTGGAAGGTTTTTGGGGCCCCATTTCTGTGGTTTTTTTTTTTTTGGTTTTGTTTTGAGCGAGAAAGGACCGTAATTGTTCAGTAGAAGCTGAGCAAGCTGTGAAGTCGGTTTGTTTTAGTGCATCGTTTTGTAACAAACTTTAGTGTAGCAAGGTAGGCGCTGTAGCCTGGGTATGACTTTATAAACGACTTTAAAAGGCAACCCACCTTGGTATACCTAAAGCGAAACTTTGCTTGTATGTTCAGTCTGCATTTAAGAGACTTTTGCTTGTATGCCATAAAACGTGTCCCAGAAAGACTCTGCAAATCTTAACTCGCAAGAGGCTCGTGGGGAAAAAAAATATGTTTGTTTCTGTTGTCCTTTTTTTACTGGAAGAAAAGTATATGCCTAATTCAATTGATGTTGTAATTTTGAAGTGGTTAAAAAGGATTTCTTGTACAGTTTTCCTTTTGGCTTCACGAAGCCTATTAAAAGTCCATCTGGAAAAAAAATACTATATCTGCTCTTGAAATTTTACGTCTTGCTGCACAACACAACTCTGGATTTGACCGTCAGAAGTGTACAGTCAGAGAGGAAGGGCAGCTAGCTGCAGAGAGAGGATTGCAGGCTGGCTAATGTGACGGTGGTGAAAACAACGCAAATCTTACTGTACTTTTAAGGCCTAGATAGACGGCAGGTCAGGTTGAGGGTGATTGAAGCTGAAGCGAGAGTATCTAAAGGAGCGTAGCCCTCTCCATTTCCCATTATGGGGTCCGTTCTCTTTGAAAAATAATAACACCACTTCCCATAGTAATTTGCACCTGGTGACTCAGAGCAGACAGCTTGCGACTAGAGTTAGCGCGTGAGCAAGAATTAGCTGACACCTTTGGTAGCTTGAAAAGCCAGCCAACAAGGGAGCCTCGTTCTAACCGGGGTCAGCTGCCGCTGCTGCCGATTCTTGACAGTGTTCCAAGGCCGATAACTGTGACCTAATTTAGCTAGCTTTGTCGTTGCCTTCTTAAGTTCTGAGAATTCTCTGCTAGCGTATGGAAAACGGCAGTGCCTTGACGAAAAAGCGAAGTGTTGTGAATCCAACAGAGAGAGAGAGAACCTCTGGGACGAAAGCTGCTCTCTTGGCTAGTTCATATGTGGGGATAGTCCCGTAATTCGAGGTAACTCCTTTCCTCATGTCCGCATCCTTCCTCCTGTTGAGAGCTCATATTTATATATATATATTTTTGAAAGTCTGAATGTTTTAACCCGTCCGAAAGCAAAAATTTTCTCTGCCAATTTCGGTCAGCTGAAAAAAACAACCCACCCTTTAAAAAAAAAATCCTCTCTTTTTAAAATCTCCTGTATGGAGTCTTTTGTTTTTGTGGCATAAATTCCATGTGGGTCAGAAGGGGTGTTGCGTTCACAGCCATTTCTTTGCCGGTAGGGTAGATGTCAGATGGGGAAAAAACAAATTCCCCCCCCCAAGGGACTAATGCTCATCTCGGGAGACTCTTCCTTAAGACTTAAGTCCACGTAACTGTAACGTTCTCTGCCATCGTGTTTGCGTTTTAACTTTTCCCCCCGTAGCCCACGCTTATTCCTAAGCAACCGTTTTCCTCCGCAACTAATGCTTTTTTGGGGGGGGGGTTCAGCTGCCATTGTCCAGTCCGAGGGGGACGCAGGTTCAGTCTCGGAACGCTTGACCCCCCATGCTGGGCTCTTGAGAGTCAGTGCGGGTTCGCAGAAACCCTTTTGTGGGCAAACGCTGGTTGCTTTGGGGGGGGGTGGATTGTGTGAGGGTGGGCAGGGTAGAAAGCATAGAGGTTTTGCCATGTGCGGTATAGATATATTTTTGTAACCCGAGTTTGTCTTGGCAGGTTGACGGAGAAAATAAGCCATTGATCATGAAGTGGTTTTGAGGCTGAGCGCGGAACATAGACCGTAAGCCAACTTCAACTCTTGAGCAGGTAAGGTTCTTGGTGGTTTGCTAGGCGTATGGGTTTCGTTTTCAGATTAATGCTGACATATATATATCCTAAGTTTTCTTGTCCGGGGTGTTAACTGCGTATTTTCCCCCCAATCTTCTCTTTCAGTCGCGTGCTGCGTGGAAGAGGACCGGCGAGGAGTACGCCAGCTTCCGGGCTGGGCAGCAAAAGCTTCGAGAGCTGTTTGCATTTTTTTAAAATGGATTCAACAAGGCTAATAAAACACAGGGCTACAAATACGGCTGAGTTGTGCATATACGCTGAAGGCAACGGGGAGCCATGGGGGGGGAAATTGTTGGCAACACTTGCACCCCCCAAAAAAGCACATCGTGGAGGCATTACTAGCCTAGTTGAATTATGAGAGGAGGGGAATGTAGCTCTTAAGAAAACTGCTTAGGGATGGCTCTAGCCCTCCGTATCTAGGAAGCCTTTAACCCCCACCCTATTACCAGAGATCCTTTATTTTGGGGGGCTGGGTCCTGAGAGAAGTCTCCCAGGTTGTAAAGAGTTCTGGCAGAGCGGCGCTGAGCGTTTAGGGGTGAAGGAGACCTTTCCAGAAGGCTGTTCTGTGAGCTAGGGGACATTCCCGACACAGCGCAGGACGACCCTGAGGGTAAAACTTACTTCCACGCTTTATGGTGCAAGTTAGCCGAGACCTTTTGAGGCTCTTGGGTTAAAGGGATATTTCTTGGGAGTGCAGGGAAGGGGGCAAGCTTTGCCGCTCACTACTACATTATTATTTCGTAACACTTGCACTGCTTCATTGCAGTATACGAGAATAAAATCGTAAATAAATAGAAATGTTTAAATTGGCAGTAAATTATAAGCTTAAAACTCCCAACCTTCTATGTATCAGGGAAGGCTTAGCTAAACATGTTTTAATCAGGCGCTAGAAAGAGTACAGTAATTGATAAGAATAGGTGCCCTGGGTTCTCTCTACAGATAAAGCTCATTGGCCACCAAAGGCTGGGTTTCCGAAACAGCATACACCTAAAACCTCTTGCAGAAAACACCCAGCCCCAGTGAACAAAAGCAGCAGCTTTTGAAGGCTGTTTCTTGGTGGATTTATGGCTCTGAATCTTCCGGGGTCCCAGAACTCAAAAGCAGTTTGCCATCAGCCTGGCTGCCACACATCCCTGTGTTGCAGGAGGCAGTGTCTCCAGTTTGCAAGCTCTGCATAAATCCAGAAGCTTGCTCACTTCAGCTCCTGCCCATTCTTAAAAAACCAGCTTTCGATCAAGTAATTTCCCAGCCTCAAAATGGAAGGGGGTGGGGGTTTTTTAGAAGGCGTGAGGAGCTTTTTATTAACACTGCAGCCCACCTAACAGCCCAAATCTGCTTTTAAGATTTGGCCAGAGAGGTTCCCAATGTGACTTTTCATGCAGTCATCTAAGGCTGTCTCTGCAATCTTTAAAACACACAAACACTGAGGGAAATTGAACGTGGGGAGAGGAAGAAATCAAAACTTGGGCATCAGTTCTTAAAAGAGATAACCAGTTGCTCAAACCCTTAATTGTGATTTCTACCCATCTGTCCTAGGCAGCCCTTCTGGAGCATTGGAGAATTTAGTAAATTTGTACAATGCCCTCCATCTGTAGACCTTGGGGGAGTTCACAACATAAAAATACAGGATAAACATAATAAATCATCCCCTCTACCCCACAAACATTTAATGAAAAGGGTCTAGGATTTTAATAAGGAAAAGACCTGGTTGAAGAGGACTGTATTCCGCCTGGTTCCTAAAGCTGTATTAAAGGCGCCAGCTATATCTCGCTGGGGGGAAATCATTAAACTCTGAGGTTTGCAGCCCACTAAATTTAGAGTAGACCCAAATCTATACTTGCTAGTTTAACAAGGAAGTTTGGGGTAGCTCAATCCATAGGGCACGAGACGCTTGATCACAGGGCTGTGGGTTCGAGCCCCTGGTTGGGCAAAAAATGTCGCAGGGGGTTGGGCTAGCTGACCCACAGGGTACCGCCCAACTCTAAAATTCCATGATGAAAGGATGGACTAAAATCGCGAGAGAGGCACACAGAAAAGCCATAGCCACAGACTCCTCACCTAAACATGAGCTGGCGCACGTAGACAAGCCGTGTCCTCCAAATGGGTCTGCTCAGAATAGGACATGACGCTACATCAAACCCCAAGTCTTCTGACTTGAAAGCCTTTTAGATCCTTTGGGAGTTTGCCTAGCCCAGGGGTAGGCAACCTAAGGCCCAGGGGCCGGGTGCGGCCCAATCACCTAAATCTGGCCCGCACAGAGTCTGGGAATCAGCGTGTTTTTACACGAGTAGAATGCGTCCTTTCATTTAAAATGCATCTCTCTTTTTTTAAATAATTTTTAATCAGATTTTCCTTTTACAAATTCGCCATCCCAAACAGTATTCACAAATTTCAACTTTTTGGACTTCCACCAGCTTTTCCACCAATCATCCATATTTTCTATTTTTATGCATTCTCTAACATTATATTGCCATTTAATATTATCCTTCCAGATCTACTTCTTTTTTACAATACATCTTTAACTTTCACAAAGCCTCTTTAAATCCCACTAGCGTTGTCTGTTCATCACATATGCTTTTCAGATAATCTGTACACTTTCCCCAGTCCTCGATGAACCTGTGATCCCGTTGGTATCTAATCTTCCCAGTCAATTTATCCAGTTCTGCATAGTCCATAAGTTTCATTCTCCATTCTTCAAGGGTCGGTAGCTCCTCTTGTTTCCATTTTTGGGCCATTAATATTCTTGCCGCTTTTACTGCGTATTGGAAAAGTTTGAAATCCCTTCTATTTATCTCTCTTCCAGTTATTCCTAAAATGCATGTCTGGGGTATTTGTGGGGCCTGCCTGGTGTTTTTACATGAGTAGAATGTGTGCTTTTCTTTAAAATGCACCTCTGGGTTATTTGTGAAATTGGTTCATTTTTAAAATTCAAAATACAGTCCGGCCCCCCACAAGGTCTGAAGGACGGTGGACCGGCCCTAGGCTGAAAAAGGTTTTTGCTGACCCCTGGCCTAACCTCAAATCTCCCCAGGTCAGCTAAGGTTCCCCATTGCCCATCGTCCTTTAAATGTGAGCATAGGCTAGTAGCCCTCAACATCCCCCTCTGAATTTTGGCCATCCCATAGTTTAATTGCACTGCGTGAATAAGTGCATTGCCTGCTCTGAATCTTTCGGCAGAGAGGGGCCAGACTTCTAAAAGCCATGTCTCCAGATGCTCTCAATTGTCATCTTCCGGCATCCTTTAAAGGCAGGAATACTTAAATCTGAGGGTCATGGGTTCAAGACCTGCATCGCAGGGGGTTGGACTAGATGACTCTGGGTGCCTTCCAACTCTTCCACAGTTCTGCAGTTTCAGACAAACAGCTTTCCCTGCTCAGACTTGGGGCTTTTTTCATCTCGCCAGCCTGTTGCTCCTCCCTGGGCGCACATCTTCCAGGAGAGCTGGTCTTTGGGTGCCCTTCTTGAATTCTCCTTGCGGGCGAAAGAAGCAGGATTTTTAAAGCAGACCTGTGCCTGTTTTTCCCAGCAGAGGGTGCTTTATGGCAAGAGAAAGGCACACACAAACAGTGATGACCATTCAGAAATAATCTCTGTAGGGAAATAACATAATTGAGGTCAGAGTTGGGGGACCCCTTGTGTGCCCATGGGTGTGGAACCGCGGCTCGATGCTAGAGCTTCCTATGTTTTATAAATCGGTCCTTTTATTTAGAACAATAAGGACTAGATTCTTTATTCCCAAGGAAAGGGAGGCTAGTTAGTGGTTTTACATGCAGGATGGGCTAAGGAGGCTTGAAATCTTGGAGTTGCCAATCAGTGTAGGCAATATCTAGCCAGATGTGGCAAGGGGGAGGGTGGTAGCAAGCTGCCCATCCCTGAGTTGCAGCTGAATGACATCTGGAAGGCTAAAAATCCCACGGCTTTTAAAGGTAAAGGGACCCCTGACCATTAGGTCCAGTCGTGGCCGACTCTGGGGTTGCGGCGCTCATTTCGCTTTACTGGCCGAGGGAGCCGGCGTACAGCTTCCGGGTCGTGTGGCCAGCAGGACTAAGCCGCTTCTGGCGAACCAGAGCAGCGCACAGAAACGCCGTTTACCTTCCCGCCAGAGCAATACCTATTTATCTACTTGCACTTTGACGTGCTTTCGAACTGCTAGGTTGGCAGGAGCAGGGACCGAGCAACAGGAGCTCGCCCCGTCATTGCGGGGATTCGAACCGCCGACCTTCTGATCAGCAAGTCCTAGCCTCTGTGGTTTAACCCACAGCGCCACCTGTGTCCTTTTAGGGAAATGCCAACCAGACGTTGAGCTGAACTGGCCTCCAGAGGCAACATTCCCAGTCTTGCAAATGACAACGCTCAGAGTTAAACTGTGGAACTCCCTTCCACAGGCGAGGACCATTTTTCTGCAGGTGACCAGTCGCCTGCTCCCTCGGTGCACAAACACACACACCCCAATTGCATTTGCCTCGCCCACCTGGAGCGTCCATGCCCAGAAATAGTATACCTCCGAAAGGTGGCTGCTAGGTGGCAAAATATACACCGGGGAGGCTGCTGCTTTGCAGCCCAGCGCTGTTAAGGGATACTCAGCCGACAGCTAGACCAGCCACTGACACCAGCTGCACGGCTATAAGAACTACCTTTTAAGACTTTGAGATTGCTTCTTTCCTCCTCCCTCCCCGTTCGTTCTTCCTCGTGTGCTGTCTCGTTTTCAGTCGTGGGCCTGATTTTGATTTTTTGTAAGCAGCTCCGATACCCGTGTGTGTGTGTGTGTGTGTGTGTGTGTGTGTGTGTGTGTGTGTGGTGGTAGGGGAGGAATCTTAAAAAGCAGAGACATCACCTTGCCAACAGAGGTCCATATAGTCAGAGCTCTGGTTTTCCCAGTAGTGATGCATGGAAGTGAGAGCTGGACCATCAAGAAGGCTGATGGCCGAAGAATGGATGCTTTTGAATTCTGGTGCTGGAGGAGACTCTTGAGAGTCCCATGGACTGCAAGAAGATCAAACCTCTCCATTCGGAAGGAAATCAGCCCTGAGTGCTCACTGGAAGGACAGATCCTGAAGCTGAGGCTCCAAGACTTTGGCCACCTCATGAGAAGAGAAGACTCCCTGGAAAAGACCCTGATGTTGGGAAAGATGGAGGGCACAAGGAGAAGGGGACGACAGAGGACGAGATGGTGGGACAGTGTTCTCGAAGCTACCAGCATGAGTTTGACCAAACTGCGGGAGGCAGTGGAAGACAGGAGGGCCTGGCGTGCTCTGGTCCAGGGGGTCACAAAGAGGCGGACACGACTAAACAACAAAAGGAGAAGGATGCAAATACAGCAAATAATATATTTCACTGGGCAAAATCGGCCGCCTTTGACAGGGTTCCTCTGTAGGGGGGGAGCTGGGCAGAAGGCTCGCCTTTCAGACCCAACAGAGGCATTCCTACAGAGGGAACAGGCAGCAGGTGGATTAAAAAGCCAGCCCATGTTTCTGAGCTCTGAGCCTCCGCGTCATAGGAATGCCTTGCTTGTTTTGTCAATCCTCCTGGGTTTATCTGTTCCGCCTGGGGCATCTTTTTTTCCATCCAAAACACAGGCTAGTTTCCATGCTCTCAGTCTTCCCCTGGCCCCTCGGAAGCAAAAAACAAAAAAAATACCCCAGCTTTACACAGAGCTGTGTGCTCTCGCAAAATCCATGCGTATTTGGGAAGCTTACGGGCAGTGCCATTCGAGTGTTTTGTTCCTTTTGAAGCTCCACACCTTGTCGATTTAATAAAGCTCTTTTCTGACCTGTTTTGGGGAGCCTTGGAAAAGGTTGGACTGCGATCAGGCTGGGTCTCCCTTGTTCGTTGGCAGGGAAAAGCCTTAGGAGGCCTCTTGCAACTGCTCTCGGGACATTGGGGGAACCCCAAAGAACTTTGGCAAGGACTTGGGGACCTGTAAAGGGACCCCTGACCGTTAGGTCCAGTCGTGGCCGACTCTGGGGTTGCGGCGCTCATCTCGCTTTATTGGCCGAGGGAGCCGGCGTACAGCTTCCGGGTCATGTGGCCAGTAGGACTAAGCCGCTTCTGGCGAACCAGAGCAGCGCACGGAAACGCCGTTTCCCTTCCCACCGGAGCGGTACCTATTTATCTACTTGCACTGGTGTGCTTTCAAACTGCTAGGTGGGCAGGAGCAGGGACCGAGCAACGGGAGCTCACCCTGTTGCAGGGATTCGAACCACCGATCTTCTGATCGGTAAGTCCTAGGCTCTGTGGTTTAACCCACAGCGCCACCCGCGTCCCTTTAAAGGGGACCTTTAAGGGGGAACTAAGAATGTCAGAAAAGCCATCTGGATGCCCCAGCAAGCAGGATTCGAACACAAAAGCAGCCCTCTTCTCTCCTGTGGCTTCCGGCACCTGGTGTTCAAAAGCCATTTCTGCTTTGTGAACAGTTCTCTCGCCATGAAGAGTTCCTCTATGAACTTGTACATTCATCCCCCCCAATTGATTTATTTCTTACATTTAAAAACCCGATTTCGACGCCCCTTCTGCAGTTGCTTATATTTTATTATTTTCACTGCATATCCAAGTTAAAGCTAATTATTCTTTATCCAATATACTCAAAATTATTATTTTTCATTACGTCGTTATATCAATCCTGGTAATGATTTAATCTGTTTACAATAACGTTTTAAATATTCAATAAAACTATTTCCACTCTGAATGAAAAACGTCTTCTTGGTTTCTTATTCTTCCATTAAGTTTCGTCGTTTCTGCATATTCCAACAATTTTTGCTGCCATATTTCTTTGGGATGTTATCCTTTTTCCATCCCTGGGCATAAATCATTTGGGGCGCTGTGATTGCAAACATAAATGAATTTTTATATTGTTTGGGTTTCTCTACCCCTATTATTCCCAAAAGCAAAGCCTCTGGTTTCTTAATAAAAATCATATTAAACCATTTTTTTAACTCAATATATATCATTTCCTACTAAGCTTTTGCCCTCTTACAGCTCCACCACATATGACAGAAGGTGATTTCCTTCTTACATTCCCAACAAACATTTGATTCAGATTTATACATTTTTTCTAGCCTGTCAGGCACCACCTATTTTCAAATAATTTTCTTTTACAAACTGTAAACTTCAAATGTACCTTCCGCAGTCGTTCCCAGGCTGCCATTTCAATCTTGCGTCCTGTATCCATTTCCCAGTTGATGATTTCACTTGTTCCTTTTTAAAAGCCATCCGACTTTGGTGGCCAAGTTTGTGGCAGTGAGTTCCGCAAGTTAACGATGTGCAGCGAGGTAGAGGAGAGCTTTTATTTCATCTGCCCTCCCTGAGTCTCCCGACAAACTCTGGGGCCCTCCATAGATAACTCAAGTCTCTGGCGGGACTTGTTTCCCCAACGCCGCCGGTTCATCGCCTGTTGCAACCTCAAATGGAAGATGGACACAGGCTCGTTTTCTGATGCTTCAGCAAACTTTTTCAGCAGGTGGCCGGTCCACTGTCCCTCAGACCTTGTGGGGGGCCGGACTATATTTCGGGGGGAAATAACGAACGAATTCCTTTGCCCCACAAAAAACCCAGAGATGCATTGTAAATAAAAGGGCACATTCTACTCATGTAAAATAAACACTGATTCCCAGGACGGATTTAGAAGGCGATTGGGCCAGATCTGGACCCCGGGCCTTAGTTTGCCTACCCATCCTCTGAAACCGGTGGATTTGATGGCAAGAGATCCCAAAGAATCATTGGGAAGAACTTTCTGACGGTAAGGCCTGTGGAACAGATTCCCTGGGAAAGTGCTAGACACATTGGGCGTCCTCTGGTCGGTCAGTGTCTCATAGCCTGACCTACCTCGCAGGGTGGTTGTGAAAATAAAATGGGGGTGGGCGGGGGGGGGGGAGAACCACGCAATGCCACCTTGGAGGAAAAGGGGAGCATCAAATCATATCAACAGTTTATCGCCAAGAGGAATAATATAGGCACACTCAATAATTTGGGCGATATAGGTTAGGGACGCGGGTGGTGCTGTGGGTTAAACCACAGAGCCTAGGACTTGCCGATCAGAAGGTTGGCGGTTCGAATCCCCGCAATGACGGGGTGAGCTCCCGTTGCTCGGTCCCAGCTCCTGCCCACCTAGCAGTTCGAAAGCACGCCAGTGCAAGTAGATAAATAGGTACCATTGCGGTGGGAAGGTAAATGGCGTTTCCATGCGCTGCTCTGGTTCGCCAGAAGCGGCTTAGTCATGCTGGCCACATGACCCGGAAGCTGGACGCCGGCTCCCTCGGCCAATAAAGCAAGATGAGCGCCGCAACCCCAGAGTCGGTCACGACTGGACCTAATGGTCAGGGGTCCCTTTACCTTACTAGGTTGATAATCTGGCCCTGCCTATGAAAGCGTATGGCGCAGCTCAAAGTAAGCCCATCAATTTAATACGTGAACACGTACAGAAGTCATTGACATTGCAGCTGTTGTATAAGGGATTATTATTTTGACCGGAATGTCAGATTTTGGAAAGCATCAATTCTCACCACCTAAATTACGTAATTTGGAATCTGAATGACTGGCATTAGCAATTGTATTATAATTTGGCATTGTTATACCGAGGCTACTAAAAAGGTAAAGGTAAAGGGACCCCTGACCATTAGGTCCAGTTGTGGCCAACTCTGGGGTTGCAGCGCTCATCTTGCGTTACTGGCCACAGGAGCCGGCGTTTGTCCGCAGACAGCTTCCGGATCATGTGGCCAGCATGACTAAGCCACTTCTGGCGAACCAGAGCAGCGCACGGAAACGCTGTTTACCTTCCCGCCGGAGCGGTACCTATTTATCTACTTGCACTTTGACATGCTTTCGAACTGCTAGGTTGGCAGGAGCAGGGACCGAGCAACAGGAGCTCACCCCATCGTCGCGAGGAATCGAACCGCCGAGCTTCTGATCGGCAAGCCCTAGGCTCTGTGGTTTAACCCACAGCGCCACCCACGTCCCTAACGAAGCTACTATTGGATGGCAATTGAAAATTAATAAAAATTATTATCAGAGCAAGCCTTATTAAAATGAATGGGGATAATCATTTCAATAGGTCTGCTCCACGGAGGGCTGGGTTGGAGCCAGCCCATAATAATATGTACAAACTCCTAATATTAAATTTAAAAGAGGTCCTGACATATACACCGGAGGTCCTGTATATATTCAATATATTGGGGGCAGAGGAGCCACACACCACAGATTCAAGGCAGACATTTTTAGAGCACATGGGAACCCGGTCTTGGCTGGGGAGGGCGGGGTATATTATTATTATTATTATTATTATTATTATTATTATTATTATTATTATTATTATTATTTAACTGTAGTTTCTCTGGGAACTGTACCTCTGCGAGAGGGTTGGGTGGAGGGCAAACTACCATTTCCAGGATTCCTCTGTGTGTGTGTGTGTGTGTGTGTGGATTGTCATGCGCTTTAAATGCGCATCAGATGCGCTTTAAATCCGTGCTGCGGAGGCTGCGATCTGCGGCGAGAGGCTAGAACTGATTCAATAAATAGACTTTATTTTTGCTTTTTTTTAAAAAAGGGGGGGGAGGGATAGTGATGAATAAAAGGATCCACGCTTCGATTATTTATTTATTTATCCGCGCGCTTTACATAACCCTAACCTCTCCCCTCCCCTCCCCATTCATTCAAATAAACCCCGGATCCCCGTCCAATCAGAAGCGTCTCATTATCCTTGAATGACACACACACACACACACACTCTCACTCTCTGTGGTCACGTGGGTTGCCTCTCTCCCCCCCCCCCCCGCGCAGTTTCCTCTCCGCGTTCCTAAGTGGGTGGGTCCCTTTTTCATTCATAAATCCTCTCTGCCCCTTTTAAATCAAAATTAAGGTGTGATACACGGGAAGGAAGGCGGAAAGCGGGGAACCCCCTTGAAATCTGAGAGGGAGAGAGAGGACCCGGAGCTCCGCTTTTTCTCCTGTTTTTGCAGCTTTTAGTTATTTATTTAGATGCGAGTTCACGAATTTGGGTGAGTCCAGAGTATTATTATTATTATTACTAATTCTAGGGAGCCCTACATCTTTCCTCCTGCAACATAATTCATTCTCCTTTCCTCTGTGTGTCCATCTGTTACTCTCTCTTCCTGCTTCTATTCTCCTTTCCTCCTCCCCTTTTTCTGTAGCTTTCTCATTTTATTCCTAATAATAATAATAATTAAGAAAAGCGAATGAAACGTCGCTTAACCCTTGCCCAACTCCTCCCACCCCCCCTAAAAAAATCCAGACCATTTTTTCTCTTGCTGGCTTGGATTTTTCCAATATGTTTTCAGGCTCCATTTAAAAAAATCAAAATTTAAATTTAAATTACGCGTTTTAAGCATGCTTCACCCAGTTTTGCAATTGAGCAGAGGGGCGGGGGAAAGAGAGAGATGGTGTCTGTGTGTTGTGATGAACGGAGATGGGTCTCCATTAGGTGAATTTATCCGGGGTGTGTGTGGAATTTTTATTATTATTATTATTATTAAATGATCCGCTTGTTTGTTTTGGTAGAAGCAGGCTCGTAAAGAAGGATTTGCTCAAGCGGCGCTGTCATTCCGGGGCTTGCAATGGAAGCGGGGGGAGGAAGAGAGACAAAAAATCCACATTTTTATTTGCAGGAAAGCGAAAGTCCTTCCTCTCCCTCTCCCTTTCTATGGGTCTACTCGGGGAGAGCGTGCAGCGCCTTGCAGCGGATCCGAGAAACTGACCAATATTTTCCCGTTGCAAGGACACAGCTGCAGCCGACCTCCTTAAGGAGGGGAGATAACCATGCAATCGACTTCTTTTAATTTTCATTTGGGAGGAAATGATTCGGCTGGCACGATCTGACTCAGCTTTTACGCGGAGTTGAGACATCCCCCCCCCCGCTCACTCCCCCCCCCCCAATTAGTCATGTCCATTCATCTCAACCTATTCTATCCTTGGTTGGATCCAAACGTGGGTGCATGAATTGTTGTTTTTAAAAATTTCTGGATATATAATATATTTTTACTGTGCAGATTAATTTCTCCCCAAACCCCAAACGGAATCGTTAATGCAAATCTAGTCCTTATTATTATTATTTATTTTATTATTTATTATTATTTATTTTATTACCCCGCCCATCTGGCAACGCCACCGTTGTTTAGGCGTTGTAAATGCCAAGAGGGCAAAATTTAAAATATCCACGCTCACCCTGGGAGCAAGCCCTGCACTGAATGGATCTGGCCTTTACTCCTGAGTAGACCCTATGCTGGAGTGGGTGTGTTGTGGTGGTGGTGGTTGTTCGGAGACGGTGTTGTCAGAAAGGCAGAGAGGGAGATCCTCACCTCTGAAACTGGCGGAGGCTTTTCTGTTCTGGGTCGGATCCTGATTCCCAGCAAAAGGGGAATTCCTCTGTCTCTCTCCCCCCCACTCTCCAGATTCTCTATCTGCTACCAAAATAAGTACCAGCAGCAGGTTTTTTGTCTGCTCCCTCTGTCCATCCACCCCGGTATTTAAAAACAAATAAAAATAATTTTACAGCGGATCCTGTGTCTTCACACAGGGGCTGTCAAGAAACCCAGGCAAATCGTGGCTTGTAAACCCTTTTGCAAAAAGGGGAGAGATGCTCGTTTGTTTTTGCATGCAAAAAAATGCAAAAGGGTTTGTGTTTATCTATTATTTCGCTGCATTAGTGGCTCGATTCAGAGGCAGTTTCCGCCATTCATCCCTTCTATCTGTTCGTCTTCACATCTCCCCCCCCCCAAAAAAAAATCTATCCTTTTATTGCGTTGGCAGCAGCCTCGGAGCTCTCTTAAACCTCTGCCTTCGCTTTTCCCCATTCTGATTTCTTTTGAAACTCGCTCCCTATAGTCTCTCTCGGCTATCTCTCGCTTAATCCGGCCATTGGCTTAAGATGGCAGTTGTGGAGTTACGGCTGGGTAGAACCACCATGGCCAGGAGAAATCTACCCCAGTGTGGGGAAGAGCAATAGATCTACAGTGGTACCTCGGCTTACATACGCTTCAGGTTACAGACTCCGCTAACCCAGAAATAGTTCTTCAGGTTAAGAACTTTGCTTCAGGATGAGAACAGAAATCGTGCTCCGGCGGCACGGCGGCAGCGGGAGGCCCCATTAGCTAAAGTGGTGCTTCAGGTTAAGAACAGTTTCAGGTTAAGAACGGACCTCCGGAATGAATTAAGTACTTAACATGAGGTACCACTGTATTTGCCTAGTTGCTGTATTAAACCGAGAACAGCTTGATTCCTTAAGGCAGAAGTCTGTGTCTGAGCTTCCAGGGCCCTTTGAATGATTGACGCAAACAATTCAGAGGATCTGTCTATTCACAGATTTTCTTTTTTTTAAAGGAGTGGCACCTCCATATATAGCTGCAGTCTATTTCTGATTGGGACGCGGGTGGCGCTGTGGGTTAAACCACAGAGCCTAGGGCTTGCCGATCAGAAGGTCGGCGGTTCGAATCCCCGCAGTGACGGGGTGAGCTCCCGTTGCTCAGTCCCTGCTCCTGCCCACCTAGCAGTTCGAAAGCACACCAGTGCAAGTAGATAAATAGGTACCGCTCTGGCGGGAAGGTAAACGGTGTTTCCGTGCGCTGCTCTAGTTCGCCAGAAGCGGCTTAGTCCTGCTGGCCACATGACCCAGAAGCTGTATGCCGGCTCCCTCGGCCAGTAAAGCGAGATGAGCGCCGCAACCCCAGAGTCGGCCACGACTGGACCTAGTGGTCAGGAGTCCCTTTACCTTTACCTATCTCTGATTACCAGAAGCTGGGGGAAAGGCCAGGCCCTCTGTCATTCCTTGCTTGCGAGTTTCCTCTCTGTGTGTGTGAGAGAGATGGATTTACTGGGATACCTCAGGTGGTCAGAGCGCAGCCCTGATGATGCCAAGGTTCCGGGTTCGAGACAGCTGCATATTCCTGCATTGCAGAGCACTGGACCTCCCCTTCCATTTCTATTCTATGTTGCCTGTCTGTCCTGCAGCCTGAGGCAGCGCACTGGGTTTAAGGGCAGAACAGCCTCCCTCAGCCTCCTGCCCTCTCATTGATTCGGACTACGTCTCCCAACCACGGTGCTGGCAGCGGCTGATGGGAATTGTAGTTCCAATTCCCCCTAGCCGTGAGGTTATTTCTTTGCCGATTCTAAATCCTGGAGCTGCAGGGTTAAAAGCCTGCAAGCGAAAAAAACATCTTGCGACTCATATCACCATGGAGATGAAATCCTTCCATGATGATCAGGGTGTGTGTGTGTGTGTGTGTGTGTAGAAATGAGAAAAGCAGCCTGTCTGTCCGTCAACTCCCTACTGCTGTGGATCATAGTCAGAAGGGGTCCCTGAGGGTCATCCAGTCCAACCCCTACAGCGCAGGAATTTTTGGCCCCACATGGGACTCAAACCCACCACCTTGAGATTAAGGGTATCGTGCTCTACCGACCGAGCTGTCCCATCACAGCCACAACATAGCAAAAGTAGGTAAAGGGACCCCTGACTATTAGGTCTAGTCGTGGCCGACTCTGGGGTTGCGGCGCTCATCTCGCTTTACTGGCCGAGGGAGCTGGCGTACAGCTTCCGGGTCATGTGGCCAGCAGGACTAAGCCGCTTCTGGCGAACCAGAGCAGCGCACGGAAACGCCGTTTACCTTCCCGCCGGAGCGGTACCTATTGATCTACTTGCACTTTGATGTGCTTTCGAACTGCTAGGTTGGCAGGAGCTGGGACAGAGCAACGGGAGCTCACCCCGTCATTGCAGGGATTTGAACTGCCGACCTTCTGATCGGCAAGCCCTAGGCTCTGTGGTTTAACCCACAGCGCCACCCGCGTCCCCTATAGCAAAAGGAGTCGTACGCAACGAATAAATGCACGGCCAAACCGAACGATTTCCTCCCAAATCTCAACGAGACCTGAAATAAAGGCGCTGAAGGCCAACAGCAGCAACCCTCCAGCCCAAGGTTCAAAGCTATTCTGTGGCAAGTAGCACTTCCCACATGCTCAGAGGCCAGGTGGCTGGAGACCACGCAGTGGGGCGCTAAACTTTTGTGAACTTGTGGGGACGTTATGGGACTTGGGAGCGAAAAGGCATTAACGGGGCAGTGTGGGAAATTATTTATTTTGTGGGTGCGTCTACACCATACCTTTAAAGCATGTGACATCCTCCAAGGGATTCTGGGAACTGTAGTTGGACGGTGCTGTCCGTTGTACCTCTGTGAAGAGTAAGAGCCACAGCTCCCAGGATTCCTTGGGGGGTGCCATGCGTATTAAGCGCGCGTCCGGTGTGCTTAAAAACTTGCTTGACCCATGGCCTGACTTGGTGGAAGCCAACTCTCTTATTTAGCTCAGAACCATGAGGTCTAGAAACATTATTTTGGGGGAAATGGTTGTTGCTCTGTGGCTGCAGACAGAGAGAGAGAGAGAGAGAGAGAGAGAGAGACCCCTCTGCCTAAAAGCCTGGAGAGTCGCTGCCAGCCAGTGTTGGCAACCCCAAGCTAGACAGGCCAGTGGCTTGACTCTGTATATAAGCCAGGTTAGACCAACCAGGAGGACGAGGCAGGGTCAGGGCAGAAGGTACAACCCCTCGCCTCTTCAGGTAGGGCTGCGGAACACCCCTACCTGGAACCCCGGGCAGCTGCTGCCGGCCCGTGTTGACAACACCAAGGTCAATGGGGCCTGACTCCTAATTTCCTCTGGGAGCGTGTGCGTGCCTTTGCTCTCTCGCTGCGGGTAGGAGGAATTGCATGAAGATCCTTGCACCTTGCACACACGTGTGTGCATGTGTGTGCATGCTACTAGCTCCTTAAGCGGCGGGTGGGTGCCACAAAACCCCTTCCCACCTCCCCCAGCTATGCACACACCCTTTCTGCGTGTCTCCCCCTCCTCATTTTTTTTTGCAGCCGCCCGGATCAAAGCCATCCGGAACCCTTTTGCTGCTCTTTCCTGGCGTGGGGTGCTCCCCCCCCCACTCTGCTGCAGCAACCGTCCGCCCCCTCACTGCCTTCCCCTCTTGCTCATCTCTCTCGTTGGCGTGAGTCAACCCTGTGTGTGTGTGTGTGGGCTGGTGAGCCAGGATCCTAGCGCGTGCATGTGTGTTTGGAAAAGGCGATTTAATTCCGGGCTCCCAACTGCATCTGGGGTGGAAGGCCGGGGTGGTTGGGGAAGAGAGAAGAGGCTGCCGCCTTTTTCCAGGGTCCGGGGTTGGGGGGAAAGGCTTTTGCCGTTTTTCTCAGCCGCTTTTCGCCCCCCGAAGGCTGCTCTGCGGCCTTCCGCTGGCTCCTTAAGAAAAACCGTCTGACACCAGGCAGTGGAAGAGGGAGAGAGAGATAGAAGGAAAGGAGAGGAAAGAAAGAAAGGGTGCTTTTGCAATCTGCCACCAACCTTCGCTTCTCCCCCAATCGTGCCTTCCTCTTAAAAATAAATTAAAACACACCAGCCTTTCATTTTGCTTTCCTTCCCCAGCGGCATCTTAAGCTGGCGAGCCAAGCGAGGACCGCTCCATCATCTCCCGGGGTGTTGTAATCGCAGCATGGCGCTGCCGAGGCTCTTGTGAACAGAATCCACCCGTGATCTTCCCTTCGACAAAAAACATGTGAGCTGCAAAGGGAGGAGAGATGGATTGCTGGAGGTAACCGGGAGAGAAAGAGAGAGAGAGAGAGAGAAAGGGAAAAGAAGAATCTACAACCTCACCGACCACGTCGCCTCTTCTGCAAATTTTGATATATGTACATCGCATTTCTTTATTTATTTCCCCCTCCCTGCGCATCCTTGCCGCCTTTTTAATTTAAATATATGTATTTTTAATCTCGTTCTGCAACCGCGCACCGTCGTGTCACTGTGGTTTCGTGCCTCCCTTTTTCCCAGGAGGACATCTCTCTCGAGGACGGACAATGAGCGATGATTTGAGCGCCTGGGAAAACGCGACGACGGGAGGTGTGACGGTGAGTGTCCCTGCCGTGGAGGCATTGGAGGGGGGGGACAGGTGTGCGAGGCTTTCCCCCCCCCGGGGTGGGTGATATTCTGTATTGCATGCCCCCCTCCAGAGAGACAGAGAGGTCTCCCCACTTCCTCCCACAACGGCTCTGGATAGGAGAGTTCAGGTTGGGCCCAGGTCGGAAATGCCACCAAACTTTTGGCAGGAGTAGCTGTGGGAGTTGCTGGCTTGTGAGCCTGCGGGAGAGAAACTCCCTTTTGCCCGGTGGATCCGGACCCTGTTTGATCTGCCCAGCCTAGGCCATTTTTGCTAATGCGTTCAGCTGGGGAGCCAGCGATGACCGGTCCATCATCTCCCGGGGTTGTTGTAATCGGAGCACGGTGCTGCCAGTGCTAATGTATTTTAAAACCTGAGGCTCCCAGGACGTTTCCGAGCACAATTCAAAGTGTTGGTGCTGACCTTTAAAGCCCTAAACGGTCCAGTAGACCTGAAGGAGCGTCTCCACCCCCATCGTTCTGCCCGGACACTGAGGTCCAGCGCCGAGGGCCTTCTGGCGGTTCCCTCGCTGCGAGAAGCCAAGTTACAGGGAAGCAGGCAGAGGGCCTTCTCGGTGGTGGCACCCGCCCTGTGGAAACCCTCCCACCAGATATCAAAGAGAACAACAACTACCAAACTTTTAGAAGACATCTGAAGGCAGCCCTGTTTAGGGAAGCTTTTAATGTGTAATAGGTTATTGTATTTTAATGTTTTGTTGGAAGCTGCCCAGAGTGGCTGGGGGGACCCAGCCAGATGGGTGGGGTATAAATAATATCTTCTTCTTCTTCTTTCTTCTTCTTCTTCTTCTTCTTCTTCTTCTTCTTCTTCTTTATTATTGTTATAAATATGACCTGCCCCTCCTAAAGTCCCAGGGCAGGTTGCAATTGAAAACACCAATATTGGAAACGATTTAAAGCAATTTTGCGAATCGAGGGCAAGTTCTCAATCGGCATCGCTTTGACCTAGCGCGGAGGGAAGAAATTATTTCCTGGGCCCACAAGTCTTGGGAAGGATGGCTGGTCCATCCAGCTGCATATTGTCTGCACTGACTGGCAGCAGCTCTTTGGGGTTTCAGGCAGGGGCTTTTCCCAGACCTGCTCAAGGTCCTGAGCAAAAGGCTCAGATTTAAATAGGAAACGGTTCGAATCTCAGTCAGGCCTTTGATCCACCTAGCTGATTTATACTGACGGAGCTGCGCTATTGTGAAATCGTGGCAAAAACAAGTAAACGTTGTGGGTGGTGCCTCTGAGCATATGCAGAGTGCCTTTGCCTTGTCGCTCTGCCACCAAAGCTCACCAGTAGAGGAATAAAAAACGAAGGCATCTAGGTTTGGAGTTTGCGGCTTCTGTCCGCATCACCCGCTCTCTTAATCTAGAGCAGCAGTTTTCAACCTGTGGGTCCCCAGATGTTGTTGGACTACAACTCCCATCATCCCTTGCTAGCCCGAGGGCCGGATCCGGCCCAATCGCCTTCTAAATCCGGCCCACAGATGGTCTGGGAATCAGTGTGTGTTTTTACATGAGTAGAATGTGTCCTTTGATTTAAAATGCATCTCTGGGGTTATTTGTGGGGCATAGGAATTCATTCATATATTTTTTCCAAAATATAGTCCGGCCCCCCACAAGGTCTGAGGGGCAGTGGACCGGCCCCCTGCTGAAAACGTTTGCTGACCCCTGATCTAGAGGTTCTGCGCTACAACTCCCGGGATTGGCGCTGATGGGGAGTTGTAGTTCAACAGCTCTGAAGGGGGGCAGCCAGCTGTGGTTTTTGATCACATGATGGCTTCTTTGACTTCGCTAGTATCTGGGAATATTTTTGGGGTGTCTGTGGAGCAAGCCAACCTAGAGCAGGAGATTCTTAATCTCAGGTTTGTGGGTTCAAGCCTCAGGTTAGGCAAAAGATTCCTGCATTTCAGGGGGTTGGGTTAGATGATTTTTGAGGTTCCTTCCAGCTTACAATTCTTTAGGAAAAGGGAAGGGTTTTCTGCTGAATTCGCTGCATTGCAAGCCGATTCAGATTTCCGCATCTGGGCTTCTTCCCTTGGTGAGGGCGCTTGCCTGGCACGCAGACGGGCCCGGGTTCAATCCTGCCCACCGCCAGTCGGAAACAGACCCAAGCCACGTGCGTTCGCAGAAGGCAGTTGTTGGCTTCGAAATCTGCAGGGAATGCTTTTGATACAGTGGTGCCCTGCAAGACGAATGCCCCGCAAGACGAAAAACTCGCTAGACGAAAGGGTTTTCCGTTTTTTGAGTCGTTCCACAAGACGAATTTCCCTATGGGCTTGCTTCGCAAGACTAAACGTCTTGCGTGTTCTTGCGAGTTTGTTTCCTTTTTCTTAAAGCCGCTAAGCCGTTAATAGCCGCTAATAGCCGTGCTTCGCAAGACGAAAAAACCACAAGACGAAGAGACTCGCGGAACGGATTAATTTCGTCTTGCGAGGCACCACTGTATGTTGTTTGTGAAAGTAAGGACCGTCGTTTGTGAAAGTAAGGGATGCTTGGCATGCAAACACGGCTGAGTCCCCTCCCATCCCTGCACATCTCCCTTTCCTGAAACGATTCGGAACTCTGCGCCGGGTACTAGCTGGTTGCTGAGTCATCAGTACGCGACAGTCCCATGGAAGGGGCCAGAGGACTTAATGCGGTCAGTCGCTGACTTGAGCACTGACTCAGCTACCGCCCACCACCACTGCTGGCCCTGCAATCGTAGAATTGTAGATTTAGAAGAGACCAACAGGGGTCATCCTGTTGAATGCAGGAATGTTTTTGCCCGGCGGAGGACTCGAACCCACAACTCGAGATATTCCAGTTTTGCACATGATCGCAGAAGAATCAGAGAAGGGGTTCCCAGGGGTCTACTCCCCTGCAATGCAGGAATCGCAGCTTCACGGGCACAGACTTAAGTTAGGCGCTTTGACCTCGACAGGTAGAAATCTAACAGACTGAAAGTTCTGGGGTCTTTCTCTGTGCTGGAAAAAGCCCTGGGTACCTGAATCTTTGGCTGCTAAGAGCCCTTCATCAAATACCTCTTTTGGGGGGTAAAAGGTAAAGGGACCCCTGACCGTTAGGTCCAGTCGTAACCGACTCTGGGGTTGCGGCGCTCATCTCGCTTTACTGGCCGAGGGAGCCGGCGTACAGCTTCCGGGTCATGTGGCCAGCAGGACTAAGCTGCTTCTGGCGAACCAGAGCAGCGCATGGAAACGCCGTTTACCTTCCCGCCAGAGTGGTACCTAGTTATCTACTTGCACTTTGACGTGCTTTCGAACTGCTAGGCTGGCAGGAGCAGGGACCGAGCGACAGGCGCTCACCCCGTCGTTGCAGGGATTCGAACCGCCGACCTTCTGATCGGCATGTCCTAGGCTCTGTAGTTTAACCCACAATTACAAATTATTACTGGGCAATAATAAGAATAAATTGTTGTTGTTCTTACTGGTAAAGGTAAAGGGACCCCTGACCATTAGGTCCAGTCGTGACCGACTCTGGGGTTGCGGCGTTCATCTCGCTTTAGTTCTTACTGGTATCTTACTATTATTTTATGAATATAGTGCCAGCACTGAGCATCGACAATGAGCACATAGAATTAGAGAATCTTAGAGCTGGAAGGGACCCCAGGACCTTCTAGTCCAACCCTCTGCAATGCAGGAATCTTAACACATTTAAGTGAAAGGATCACTGCCCCAGGGAGAACAGATTCATTGCACAGTGGAATCAACTGGAGTGGGGTGGGAAGAAGTCTGAGGATGGAGGATCAGGGAAGGGCACAGAGTTCTTAAAATTGCAAAATTGGAGGGGTGATTTGAGTCCAATCTCTTTCCTCGTGAGAACCTTCTGAGGAGGGTGCCCGTTGCATCTCTGTGTGCTTTGTAACTGCGCAGAGATCACTGACTCGTGCAGAGACATAGGGGAGCCATCTCCCAAGGGTAGGCAATTCTTGACTTTGCACACCCTAAACTTGTGTGCGTGTGTAAAAGGGAAGAGTGTCTCCATCTCTCTCTCTCCCCTCATGGTGGAGACATGTGCCCTCATACTGCCAGGGAATATATATACCATATTTTTCGCTCCATAAGACGCACCAGACCACAAGACGCGCCTAGTTTTTGGAGGAGGAAAACAAGAAAAAAAATATTCTGAATCTCAGAAGCCAGAAGAGCAAGAGGGATCGCTGCGCAGTGAAAGCAGCAATCCCTCTTGCTGTTCTGGCTTCTGGGATAGCTGCGCAGCCTGCATTCGCTCCATAAGACGCACACACATTTCCCCTTACTTTTTAGGAGGGGAAAAGTGAGTCTTAGAGAGCAAAAAATACGGTATATTTTTCTGAGTCTCCTTGCTGTGGAGGTAGCTTGTACAGAACAAGGGTGAGGAAACCCAGCCCCATCGGCTCCCCTCACCCTTTGCACCCATAAATTTTGTCTTTTTATTTTCCTCTCCCTTCCCTCCTTCCCCCCCCCACCACCCAAAAAAATCCCACCTTCCAGACAGTGCCTGGTGAAGTGAAGACCCACGATGGGTATTTCCTGCTGCTGATACTTCTCTCCATCTTTATCGGGGGCACCCTGGTGCTTCTCTTC